ATTGTCTCTTAATTAATTTTAAGTAAAATTTATGATTAAGAGAGAACTAATTTCTGAGAGGTGCGCCTCAAATTTTTCACAGGACTTTTTCTGAAATTCTAATACCTTTGATACCTTACGTAATTCCCTTCCAATTAATTTCAAACGTCAACTTTCACAAAGAACAACGTCATCAGAATTGATGAATCAAACAGAACTAATTAATGACGCGTCATCTTCTAGCACAACTTCGCGAAAATCAAATTCAAGGTCGGGTACTCGTTGAATCTAGACGCCGTAAAATTAACCGCGGTTCCATTAATCCTACGATATAAGATAATTCGCGACGAAAGGAGTTGGTGGAACGTCTGCTACGACAATGACGTCATCGAAGAAAATCCTTTCTCTCCATTCCCTTTTTCTCGTGAGGATGAGCGAAAAAGGATGACGCCACCGTCAAACCTGAATGCGAGCTAATGATTAATCGATGACCCGACATTAAAATAGATCGCGTATAGGATCCAAAGTGGCTCGATGTGTACGGTAGTCACGATTTGGAAATTCGCCAGAGTTCAGTCGTGCGGACCGCGCGCGGTGCGGATGACCGAAAGCAGCTCGACGAGCCCCTAGGAAGGATGGAAATAGGCGATTAGGCAGATGTCATCAATTTTGATGCTGCACATTTTAGAGCATACGCGATTATATCTTTATCATATGCGCCGCTGCGAATTACTCAACTCGCAAACCAGAGAGAACATTTAATTCCCACCGGTTTGTGATGCAGTTCGTGTAACGCCGCTATTGCATCAAATGCAAAGTTCGCTATTCACATGTACACGTTTTGAGTTTAAGTTTCTACTTTGTTTTTAATCTCTTTTTCAAGTAGAGAAATTTTAATCCGCTCTCGCTCAAAATTACATCGAAAAAGTAAAGTAAGGTTTAAAAGCGTGATAAATATAAATACAAATTATCTAAATTTATTTATATGGTTAAAACTAAATATCTCGAGTGCTAATTAATCAATGTACAATTAATTGGATCGGTGTATAATTATTGAAAGTTAAATATGTCTAGAGTTAAATTTACGACAACATATATATTGCAAGTGAGCTGTCTTCAATATATTTCGATTAATAATAATATTAGAGATTGGAAAAGTTGAAAGAAGAGGTGATGTTAATTTATCATTTGTCACCAACATCGCAGTTCCGAGTATCTTGTACGTATAAATAACTCCGTGTAAAATTGAAAAAAAAAAAGAAATAAAATTGTCCTTTTTTTCTGCGTTAAGCAGGAGGCGTCAGGACGATATTTTAGAGTGTCTACGTAAAGCGAAAAGCGCGCGTACTATTCCTGGCGAGCAGTTATCATCTGTCATCGCTGTCGAATTCTACACACGTTAAATTTCGGACATTGAAATTTAATTTATCGCCCGCGTTTAGTAGGAGCAACGTCGATTTACAACAAAGCTTGCCAAAGGATCGAGAGATGATGTTTAAACGCGAGGGATTACGTGTTGTAGTGGATTGGAGGAAGCGCACAAAATTTTGCAATTTGTCAAGAAATGACAGCTCGTACGATGACAAACAGTTCAACGCGATCGTTAACATCGATTCCGCACAGGCGAATCCGAGAATACAAACGCAGATCCTCCCTCTTTTGCCTCCCTCTCTCCTTCTCTCCCTGCCTTCTCCCCCTTTCTCTCTCAATGTGTGTCTCTGTCTCTAATGAGAATTCGTACAACGTAGCGCAATGATGAATGCAAATGACCTCGCCTTGATTCATCGCGCTTTCGACGGGACCAGTAGGAAAAAAAAAAAAAAAAAAAAAAAAAAAAAAAAAAGAAGAAGAAGAAACAGAAACTCTCGAGAGGTGGCTTGGAGACTTGGTATTTCGAGAATCTCGTAAGTCATTAAATCACCCGATCACTTTGTTAGCGGATTTCTCCTGCGTCATCTTTGTTTTTTTCTTACGTGTGACACAGAAAGCGGAATCAGGCGCCGGCTAAATCGAGCCTTTTTTCCGCGAATCTACATAAAGATCGTCCTGTCCGGTTGGCCGTTCGCGCGGTTCGATACTACGCAGCGTGGCAGCAGGAGGAATTATTTTGAGTGCATTACTCACGATGCATCTGTTTGAAATAATTCGCAGAAATTACGTAGTCAAGATTTTCCAAGCGCCACTGACCCTTAAACACCGGTATAAAAATAACATCCGCGGAATATTAATTATCACTCGTGTTATTCACATATCGTATACCACACGAAAGATATAGATATTATCAGCGGCGCTGATAATATCAGACAGCGTAAATTATTTAAGAGCGTTAATATATCCTTAAATACTTATACAAGATATATTGTAAGCGGTATCGTACTATAGGAAGTCCGCAATATGTAAATGAGAAACCGATATAAATAGAATAACATGGTCATCTCCCGCGGTAGATTTTCATTTGACGTACTCAGCAGATTAAAAGATTAATGAAACATTTTCAAAGATTAATAATTACGGGAAAAAAATTCGAAAAATATGTAATCTTTTAATTAAATTATAAAAAAGATGGACTGTATCATACAATTTTTACATACTAATAATATATTTTAACTTTTTACATAATAAAATATTAATTATAGGTGAGCAAATAGTGAGACAGAGAGAGAAGAGAGAGAGAGAGAGAGAGAGAGGGAGAGCATTCCGTTCGCTGAGTTCAGCAGCAAAAGTCCACAGAGAAAAATGTGCATTAGTAGACAACACTATATCCGCTCTTAGAACTCCGTCGACAGATTTGCGGCACGCAAACGGCGCAACGCTATAATTACGTTTTCGCCGACGGCAAATTAACGGCGTACTTTCGACACAATGCGCACACGAGCGATTGTTGGAAAACGCGTGCACGGCGCGCGTGCGCGCGTGCGCGCGCGCGCACGTGCATGTAGATACGCGTGTGTGTCGCAATTTTGCTCCACGCCCGCTGTGCGGACATATAATTGCATCGGACGGCATGACGTTGCGGGCGGTCCGTTGCAGTTTTCTTTCCGCTGCGGAGACCGCGTCCGACCATCCGTGAATTGGCACAACCACGACAACGATAATGCGCATATATCTGCGCTTTATGATTTCGCAGAAACAACAAAAACGCACACATACACACCCTACACACACATACATACACACACGCGCGCGCGCGCGCGCGCCGATACTTTATCACTCCACTCGAAATTCGTTGCTTCTTGACGGATTTCTTAAAGTGGCGTGTCATTCTCGCGAACGGATCGCACCGCACGCGAAATAAACTCGCGAAATATTGCGCAGCGAAACGAGCGCGACGTCGAAATACATACGAAGAAAATTAGACGAATTGTAAAATTCATATCTATGACAACACGCTCGAATTGCGCACCGAATTACGAAATAGGATGCCGCTTCATCTTATTATTGGTGTAATTATGACTTCTATGAATTACGTTTTTTCATTTAAGTCGGTAAAGATGAAATAAAAGCTGCCAGCGGCAGCTATTTTACTTGACACGAGCGGATCACGTCAACTAATTTCCGTTTTCAGTCCAATAAAATCCTCATTCGCGCGTCTGTCACGATGCCAAGAATTCGTCGTCTTCTGATCCGCTGTCACGAAATCTATACGTACATCCATATATATATATATATGTGTGTGTGTGTGTGTGTGTGTGTGTGTGTGTGTGTGTGTGTGTGTGTACATATATATATGTGTGTGGGGGGGAGAGAGTAGGGATGTCAACGTAATGAGAACGAGCTCACAACGTGCCGACGTTCGGGAAACGGGCTTTCATAAAATAATGACGTCAATCGTAAAAAAAGTCGTAAAACCCAGTACGTACCCAGTTAACGAAACGGTCCGGGTATATACCTTACGACCCTCCATGGACTCTCAATGAGATAAAATGTAACTGCCGAATGTGCGCGCTCGTCTGAAAGAGAGAATAGAAAAAGCTATCCAAAGATTCGCATTTCTATAGGCATCTGAAGGTTTCGACTCCGACCGCCATAAATGGAAATTGCGCTGCTTCGACGTTATCGAGTGACATTGCATGTTCCACTTAGGTAAGTTGATTTTAAAATTCTCTATATTTTTCTCGATCTCAACGGACCACTTGCCACTTGCTCCTTCGCGGGAAGAAGTTTCCTCCGAGAATCGAATCTCGCGGAGATACATGTCGGTGAACTCACTCACGTTGCAAAATTACGAGATCGAGTGCTGGAAAATTGAATGCGCTTTTGCAAAACGCGTGAACGTTTCTCAGGTGTTCGATCGGGTGATTCGAATAAAGCGAATCGCGCGCGGAATCTCCTGAGAAAATCAGAAGTGACGGAAAAAGAAGAACTAGAGGAAGATGTGGGGAACGGAAGGGATGCGGACTGACGAGGTTTGCACTTTCTCGTAGATGACGTTTCTATTCCCGGGAATTCACGACGCCACGCTCGCAACCATTTCTGCGCAGTGAGATCATTAGCGGTCCTCCCCGACAGGGCTTCGATCTATTTTCTTTATTTCCCGCTTCCTCTCGCAAAATGCACGGCGCGGTGCCGATGCGAATCGCGCGAAAGAAAACAAAGAGCCGTTTTCCTTCGTTATTTATCTCTCGCGTCTTGCGAGTTTCGAGGCCCTTACGTCGCAAAAACAAACGGGAATCAAATATTTATTGATATAAATATTAGTGATTTCCGAGTCTCCTTTAAGAAGCATCTGCAGATTTCTGAATGGCGAATGCTAATAGAGACTTCCGTAACGTCTTCGTGTTGTTCGTAGAAATGTATAGGGGGCACGAGATAATCAGCGAAGTGTCGGAACCAGTGACTCATCGCGTTTCGTTTACATCATGTATTATATCTCGCGTCACTACGAAATTATGTTTACTACTAGCTCATGATGAAACAGCGCTTTTTTTTCTGTTAGTGTTTACGACATCTCCTCGTCTCCGCGATAACCGAAAGAAATCATATGCAAGAACGCCATCAAATTAAGAAACGTGAGATAGATTCCCAGAAATTTGTTTCTCAATCAGGGCAATCATGTGCTTGGTACTTCAAATGCGCGTCACAAATGCGATGGCATTCACATTCCGACACTTGCATTTCATGAAAAAACTCAAGTGAAACGTATTTACAGTCCCTAGATCTTGGAAAAAGAATATTTATAAGAAATATATACGAAATAATTAGTTGTTAATATTTTTTTTTAATATAAATTTTACAAATACAATATACACAAAAAAATTGCATCTTAATTGCTCAATTACGATATTACACAAAATGCTTTTTAAAGTTAATTATAAACGGTATTATTAATTTCAAATTAAATTTATAAAAGGTACTAAATTAAAAACGTATTAGTTTTTTTTTTTATTTTTTTTCTTTCCAAATATATTCTTGTGATACTACACGTTAGCATTCATAATGTAATACATTTTTAATTAATGTTATAATCGACAGACATTATATTTTATACTTCAAACTGCTACTTACCGCGTAACTATTATTTTACAAATATTAATAGCACATTAATTTAATTTTCTGTAGAAGCTGAGATGATACAACGCACATGGGACGCTCAAGTTTCGTGAAAATGCCACTCGTCAAATTACATTACGGAATTTCAGAATCTACAATAGAAGCGTTAACAGATTCTGACAACACCGGTTGCTGCCAGCACTTCTGGAATTGCGAATATAACGTGAATAATGTAAACGACATGTAACAGAGAATCTCCCAAGTAAAAGCAGATGCGTTGGCCGGCCGACAAATGTACGTGCAACAAAAGGCCGTTGTCCTGAAACAACGGCGATCTCCAGCGAAGAGTTTCCCAATGACTGTTTTGACATTTAGTCTAAAGACCGAATTTTCACCAACCAATAGAAGTCTTTATTCAACTACCAAAAATATTGATACTTAAACGGCTTCGCTCGAAATTAATTTTTGAAGAGAGATATGTGAATAGAGAGAGAAAGAGACAGAAAGACAAAAAAGCTTAACAAAGCTCCCAATAAAAAGATCACGAATAGCTAATAAATTTTTTTATACATTTTTCCTACACGCCATCCACTCATTTTACGACCTACATTTTACACCCATACGAGTTATTACAAACAAACGCACTCAACGCGGCGCATGCAACGTAGCGATTTAATTTGCTCGAAAGCCACTACACGTGTAGTGTATTAGGATGATCTATCTATTCTGTCACGTGAAACCGGGAAAATAGGATGAATGTTCGATTTTTTCACGGCAGCGCGAATAAACGAGTACGGCGCGTACAAAGTATGAAGTCCGGGTCTCCCGGCAATCAGACAACGACCCTTTAATCGAAACAATATCGCGTCTCCAATTCACGTCTCGATGAGTCTTTTGCCGTGCTCGCCGGGCGTGACGCCTCGTACAAATTGTCGTTTCATTAATTTCATTGATTCTGCTGGCCCGTTGCTCCGAAATTTGTGCGCGCGCGCGCAGCCAGGCGCGATGACAGCCGACAATACTGTCCGACTTCTCGAAGACCTTTTATTATATTATTTTTTTTTCTCTCTCCAACACTTCGAAATTCGAGTGGCAAAACATTCAAGAAATAAACAGATGGGTAATGGAAAAAAAGTATAACTTCTGTCTATTTCATACGAGTAACGAAAAATTTATCTTATATTTCCCTTTTAAAAGGGAAATATGAAATACATTAATACATTAATCGACGGGACACGGAATCGACGGGATTTCGTCATTGGTAAATAAAACTTTCAGATTCTCTCTGTCCAATAACATCATTGTTGAATTAAAATTTCGCGCGTGAATAAAGCGCGATAAAATAGCCTCGAATAAAACGAGCGTATTACTTGCCTCAAATTTTTGAAATGACATCGAAATGACATCGCGGAGAGAAGTGTATCGCGCTCATTTATGGACACGTGCACCACGTGACAAAAAGGGCCGCGAAGGATGGAGAAGACAAAATTCCAGAAAAGTTCCGATTTCTTCGTATCGGTGTGCGGTTCGAAGTGTCTTTACGAATCCTCTCCTCTCCCTTCCCTCGGCTGCTCCGGCTTCGCTTCCGCGAAATCTCCATAATGCCAGCGCATTTACAACGCTCGCAGCTGGAAATGAATACGCATTTCATTCTACTCTCTCCCTTAGAAGAAATATGTATATAGAACGCTACGGCCATCCTAAAAATTTTTCCGTGAATAAAAGAAGGATGAGTTTCAGCGAGTAAAAATGGAAGAGCAAAAAGAAACTCGATATCTGAAAAATGTCGTCGTTGCATACGTTTTGATTTTGAAACTATTTTTTTTTTAAGAGCGTCATACGGGCGTGGTTATTCCGGGTGTGTAAAATGTATCAGAACGGTAACGTCTAAGTGCTATCAATTTTCAATGTATCGTTCTACTTTTGTTATTTCAAGACTTTTATTGTTCCGGATTTCATATTTTGAACGTCTTGATATACGTCTCAATTTTTTTTTTTAGAAAGATCAGTTGCACCGAGAGAGAGAGAGAGAGCGAGAGAGAGAGAGAGAGAGAGAGAGAGAACGCGTATTATTGCATAGAAAATCGACGACGGTTTATCGATAGAAAGCTGTATTTAAAAATTAATTGCATCGTGTGATGTGTACACGTCGATGACAGATAGTTCGAGCGAGCGATCATGCGTCGATCGATGTGTCACTTCGATAAAATCGATTGAGAATCATTTCGTACCTGTTCTGAATACGTCGCTTATTTTGGAGTATTTGCCAATAGAATTAATGGGTATAAACAATCGCACCGAATTAAACATGTATTAAAAATACGGAGGAAACAGCTCGCGAGGGAAAAAGAAAATGGAGGGATAAGTAACGGCGTTTAATGAAGAGGAATAGAATCGATCATTACGTTAATTTAATTGTCAAGTGACTATACCAAACGTATTTGGATAACCTGCATGTTTGCTCAAAACAAGCTATTATTTAGAGTATATATGGCGAAAAAAAGAACTGCTAAAACTTCAATACTCAACTCAGTTAATTAAAATGATGATACAAACAACGTCCAATTAAATCGTCCAGATCCGTTTTTACTTATCTGAAAAAATATTTCGTAAAATAACAAACGCAATGTAACATTAACATAAATAAAATATTAATTTCATGCTAATTGTGAATGATAATTTTTAAACATACCGCTCCCATAGCAATACATTTTAATTATAACAAAAAATTATTATCAATCGACTTTAATATATTTTACATTTAATGCTAAGAGAGATTACATAGCTATTATGCGAGAAAACCAATATAATAACGTAACGTACAAATTGTCAGGAATTAATATAAATCTTATTTGTAAAAATTATAAAAATTGTTCGATATAGAAAAAAATAAGATATAACAGATATTAATATGTCGATTAATATTTCAATATTCATAAAAGACGAGCGGCGACACGGCGCGGAGTTAACAACGTGTAAATTGAAATCTCCTGACACGTGAGATCGGAGCTCTTCAAAAACTCCAGACAGATCTAATACGACAGTCGTTACGATGCTGACGCATGTTGTTCGCGACCGCGCTCGAAGAGAGAGGAGAAGATCGGGAGTGATAGGGTGAAAAAAAGAACACGGTGGACCGTCGGTCGCGCAGTTTCTCGAATCGGCGGGAGGAGGGAAAGAACACGTGACCCCAGCGCGGAAGACCCCACTCATTTTGCATTTATGACATCAGCAACTAATGTTCGCGTCTCGACCGAACCTGTCCCACCTCGTCCGGTGAGTAACGCATGACATCAACCCCCATTAGGCACACCTACGAAAAGCCAGACGGCCCGCGACGGTCCAATTGTGATCGTTCGCGTCGCCATCACGCGTCTCTCCTATCTTCTCTATTTCTGTATTTCCGACCAGAACGATCTATTATATACCGGTGTTACACGAAAACAAGAGAGCGAAAGAAGAAAGATACTCTTTCAAAAATAAGTGTCACGAAGAAAATTTTTCGTATATACTTTTTAAACTGCTCCCTTAACAAGATTTGTGTATAATAATTAAAAGATCTCTCGTAATGAGTTAAATTTAGTACAAAAATATGTTATGATTATTTTTTAATGTATCGTGGATCGTATCAATTTTTATACTCTCTTATTAATAAAAAAAAATATGATACAAGACGCGCGCGAGTAATATTAAATTTTTTTCTCTATGTTTAAATAATCCGCGCATGGATTTCTGCGACTTGAGGGGTTATCGTTATCGGACGCGATCCAGAACTGTCAAGGAATATATCCGCATATCAGTTTGACGATAAGACGAGTAACAAGCTCGAAGCTGACACAACTTCCTAGATATGTATCGCGAAGGAATACACCGACAAACAAAATCGGATATACGCGCATGCAAATGCTATTCTGACGTTTTGTGGCATCGCCGATTTTGTTCACACAGGAAATAACCTTTCGATAATCATAGGTGATCGGAGAATTCCGTTGAAAAATAGAACCGTCAAAACGTTTTACATTTTTTTTACTCGCCGAATATGTTTATTATTTTTAACAATCGCGAAACATAAAACGATGATAGAATCGTTGTAGCGCTTAAGTTTAATCTCGATAATTAATATATTACCTAGTCGCTCACATAAAATAGACAGTGTCTTTATTAATTTGTCGAATTTAACATACATCATTTTTCTTATAAGAATAGAATAATATATTCTGAAAAATTTTATCTTAATTAAAATTTGTGAAAAGTATTTCTTTTAGATTAATTGAAACAGATATTGAAACACAAAAAGTCGCAGTTCATTCACGCTTTTAACATCGAGGACAGTCGTCAAGCATGCGACAAATTGAAAGGCTGATATCTCGATTATTGCGTTAGATTATCCCGCGTCTAGCAGAACCTGTTCCGCCATAATCGGTGAGTAACGCATGACATCAACCCCCATTAAGCGCTGTTGCATTTATATCGATTTATGCAAAACTTTCATACGGCCTCGAGAGACGCCCCTTTATCGGCACCGATCGAGCTGCGTAAAAGACGGCAATAAGGTCAGCTGCAACTATATATAACTAGAAAGTTGTAACTATGCATTTAATTAAAAAAAATTTACATTCTTTTGTTATATTTATAAGTAGAAATCTCACTCGGAAATAACATAATTTAGTAACACATTTATCATTTCAAAATAATAAATCAAATGGTAGACAATAACAAGCAGATTATTATATCAACTTATTGAAATTTGTATAAGTAAAATTAAGATTTTTTTATATCTCATCTGAGATAAGACCGAGGTGGTTAAGACTTTTTTGAATCATATTTGCAAGAATAAAATTGCAAGAACTTAAAGATAATATTTAATATAACGCCCTAAAATTAAAGCTAACATACAGAATTGCATTTTATTGAAAAAGTTAAAAAACGTAAGATGTATTCTTACGTCACAGTAAAAATTGCGAAAAATTGCGTTTGATATTTAAAAGTCAACTCTTGAGAGATTAATATCACGATACACAATATATGAAACGTCGCTCATATGTATGGTAATCAACCAATGACGCACACCTCTCACCTTATACCCCGGAATTGTCATTCGCTGCGTGAGTTATCAGGAATTACTTTTGCGCACAATCGATCGAATGGCCGATTCACTGCCATTCCGAGGCCGGTCGATCTTTTTATGCAGCTCGTATGCAAAACGGGCACGTCTGAATCGCAAGCGAACGATGGAAAGAGGAAGCGTCGATCTTCTGCTTCTTCATCAAGTCAAGCTCCATTTTTGGTCCGCATACCGGATTCCTGAATAGGGAATATATAACAAGCGATTATGCATGCGCAATAAGTCAGTTCGCGAGGACATCTTTGACCACATTTTTATCGCGAAGAGATAATCTGATCTCCATCCTTCAACCACTCCGCGTGGTTATCCTAAACCTGAAAAATTTATCCTTTATACCCGTGCACGTTTTGACGTTCTTTTCATCAAGTTTCTCCATCGATCGGCGCGATGCAACGCGCTCTCATTTCGCGATGTCTCACACCTCAGCTTC